ACTTTTTTCTTTTGCTACCTCTGTTTTTGGTGTTATTTCCAAATCCGATGTCACAAATCTTTTCTTTTTGTTTTAAGAGTTTTCTAGTTTTAGCTATGAGGTCTTTGATTCGTTTTGAGTTAACTTTTGTATGTGGTAGAATGTAATGGTCCAAATCCATTCTTTTGCATGTGGTTAACCAGTTTCCCCCACCTTTCCCCCACTGAATGCTTTTGGCACCTTTGTCAAAAATATTTTTGTTAAGATTTTTTTTTTTTTAATTTGAAAGAGTGACAGAGAGAGAGAGAACAAGTGAGCTTCCTTCCATACCAGTTCACTCCCCAAATGGCCACATGTCTGGAAGTTGACAAGGCTGAAGCCAAGAACCAGAAACTCCATCCAGTTCTTCTTCCATCGGTGGCAGGGGCCCTGGTACTTGGGCCATCTTCTGCTTTCCTGGGCACATGAGCAGGAAGTTCAGTCAGGAGCAGAGCTTCTGGGACTCAAACTGGCGCTCCACACGGGAAGCCCACATTGCAAGCACAGCTGAACCCCCTGTGCCACAACAGCAGCAGCTGTCAAAAATGTTTCCACCAGGGGCCTGGCTGTGGCATAGCAGATTAAGCCACTGCACCAGTTCAAGTCCCAGCTGCTCCACTTGTGATCCAGCTCCCTGTTAATGGCCTGGGAAAATGGTGGAGGTGGCCCAAGTGCTTGGGCCCCTTCACCCATGTGGGAGACCTGGAAGAAGCTCCTGGTTCCTGGCTTCATCCTGGCCCAGCCATTTCGGGAATGAACTTAGCAGATAGAAGATTCATTCTCCCTCTCCCCTTCCTCTTCTCCAAGACTGATTTCCAAGTAAATAAATAACTCTTAAAAAAAATCTTTGACCATATGTGAGACAGTATGTGGTGGAGTGAGAAGACCATGCCAAGATGGCCGCTGGCAAGCGAGCATCAGTTACTCAGGAAATGGCTTCGAAACCTGCCTGGTAATGGAACCTACCTGGCAACATGCTGTGATTGGTTAGGGCATAGACCGCCCCTTGACTGGATTGGCTGCCTTGGCTATATAAGCTGCTGTACCAACTGAAATAAACGAGTCTGCAGGCTGCTCACCTCTGGCCCACTGTCACCTGACTCCCGGGGTCTGTGTGGTGACTCCACACCTCTTGCCCCTGCCGCGCTCTTCCTCTCAGAACAAATCCACAGCAACAAAAGTCTACTTAACTCTTTGAACGTAAGGAATAAAATGAGGATCCCTGGGCGTGTTCTCGTGCTGCGGTGTTAATGCTCCTGTTGTGGCTTCTCTGGGCTGCCCTTTTCCTTGTTCGGGGTTGAGCTGCCTGCCATTTCAGAGGCCAGGGCATGTTTGCTTGAACACCAAACACTGGGGCTTCACCTTGTTGGGCGCTGGCTATATTTGTCATCCTGTTCATCCTCTTCAGCCTTGTTCCGGGACAGTCTCAGTTACTTGGAAACAGCTAATCCTTCAGGTCTTGCTCACAAAGGCAAATCCAGACCAGTGCTCACTATAGAGCTGGTTGTTTGCCACTACTGAGACAACACCCCCCGAGACTGCCCAGTGCCAGTGCCACAGACGCCATTCCCGAGCTGGGGGAGCAGCAGGCAGTGTCCCGCTGAGCCTCACGTGTGCTCATGCGCCTTCTGCGGGTACCCACAGGGACCCTCTGCTGTGCAGGCTCCCACTCTGTCCTGGGCACAGGACATCTGCTCATGACCCTGCACCCCCTCTCTTCAACTGCTGGCGTTCACTGGTTCCGCCTCAATTTCCCCTTCCCCAGGCTCAGCCTGCAGCCCCTCTCTCGCAGCGCACGGGGGCAGTCACAGGGCTACCTTTGTTTCCCATTCGTCTGGAGTTCTGTCCTTGATCATTCAGTGTCCAGCTCCCCACAAAGCACCGTCTTCGGTATTGTGTGTGGTATTTCTGCTTGCTTCAAGTGGGCAGGTAGAGCCCACGCTGCTACTTGGAATCGCTAGAAACAAGTCTCTCGGGCTGCCTTTTCCCTGTGTGATCACAGGGTCCCTGGGAGGACCTGTCTGTGTTCTGCGAAGAGAAAGGGCGGCTCGCACAGTGGGTGCTCCGTTACTCCCACCTTCCCCAGCGCGGGGGACTCTCCAAGGCCTGCTTCCTAAGAATTCTAGTCTGGCAGGGACTTCACAGCTTAAGGAACTTCCCGCTTGCACAAACATTGTACGGGAGTCTGTGCACCCCCGTAGCCCTGATGCTCTGCCCAGTGCCAGTGTCAGAGGGTGGAGGTGCCAGGAGGGTGGTGACCTGCAGAAGGGCCACGTTGTGAGTGGGAGCTCAGCCACCGCACTGGCACATGCACACGCCCCTCTCCCCGGCACGCGGTCTAAGCCAGCCGTGGCATCCTGCTGCCTCTGCCGAGGACTAACTCAAGCGTGGCCATGGGACCCGGTTCCAGCCAGGAGACATGGAGTACAGGGCTGTCTCCAGTGGCTTCTGGAAAGGGTGTTCTCCACTAAAGGGGAGTGATGGGCAGACGCGTGTGCCTTCTGTGGAGTGGCCATATCCCAGTGTGACTTGCAGCTACCCCTACCATCGTGGCACTGACCTGAGGATGGTGGCAGGTGAGAGGAGGCCCAAGACATCCAGAACTGGTGACTCAGAGCCCCGAGCCTGGAGATTCAGGTTGGTGGAAAACAAATCCATCTGTTAGATGCGACCCAAAGCACTGCCCCTGGGCCAGCCTCCTGGAGGGCTGACGGTGCTGGTAGGGGAGGAAGTCCCCTGAAGGGACATTTTCCTCCTTTGGACGAGAAATCAGGCTGTGACAAGACAGGTCTGAGGCCACGCGGTGGCTGCCGGCAGCTTGTAGCTTTCCACCACAATCTGCGTCCAGGAGCCTGAGTCAGCCTTGCTGGGCAAGGGCAGACAGACACCGTGAACTTGTATGAATTTTTGTGCTGAAATCGTGTCCTTGGCAAAGATAGCAAAGTCCCCCAAGCTGCCAGCAGGGCAGGTGCAGACTGCATGAGATTGCCCAGTGTCGGGACAGACTTTCCTCCCACGGGAAAGAATTTGTCCCAAGTTCCTTCTCAGGTTCACGGAATAGGGCAGATGCTACGTGAGCAAAGCCCTGGGCCCTGGGCTGCTGTTTGCTCTACGTGCCACAGAGGAAGCTCTCCTTGCTTACCTGGCCGCCGCCCTCCACCCTGGGAGCCGTCTCCCAGCTGGACGGGCAGGAACAGGGTGGGGGCGCTTATTGCCTCCGCTCCCAGCTGCCTGGAGAAGGGCTGCCTTGGGATAGAGTCCCTATCCCTGGACTCGCCCCAGAAGGACTCTCAGCGCCCCTGTGCCTTTTACCTGCTGTCCCCTTGTCCACTTGGAAGACCCTCCGAGACCTCCTTCTCTCCATTACTAATCCACCAGCTGTGCCAGGCATACTCCAGGTAAGAGGGACTCAGCTGTGAATAAAACAGGGTCCCCAAGAGTAGAAAGCAAAGGGCAGATAGGAGCCAGCTCTGTGGCACCGTGGGTTTAGTTGTCACCTGGGATGCTGGCATCCCATATGAGCACCAGTTCATATTGGATTCATACTGGTTTCTCTTTTGTGCCCAACACCTGCCCCTGACACTCCCAGTGGCATGAGGGCGAGCCTCTAAGTACCCTGGCAACGCCGGAAGCTGGTGACCGCTCTGCCTGACCTGCACCTGGTGGCTGGCAGGTGCACTTTGATTCCTGCAGCTCAGGTGTGGACCCCGTGACATCTTCCAGGCCTTTAGGACCTGCACCGCGGTGCTTGATTAAGACAGGTGCTCAGGGGGCTGGCGCCTGTGACGCTGGCATCCCACGTGGGCACCAGTTCGAGATCCAGCTCCCTGCTGATGTGCCTGGGAAAGTGCTTGGGCCCCTGTACCCATGTGGGAAACCCAGAAGCAGCTCTGGGCTCTTGGCTTCCACATGGCACAATCCTGGCCATTGCAGCCATTTGAGGAGTGAACCAGCAGATGGAAGAGCTCTCTAACTCCGCCTTTCAACCAAATAATAAATCTTTAAGAAAAGAAACAGGTGCTCACCTGCTCTTCTGCTGCGCGCGCCTTCCACACCGCAGCCGCTGCACATCCCACTGCCTCAGAGCCCACTCCGGCTTGCTCACTTGTTCCTGCCCTGAGGGACTCTGTTCACCCACACTCCCAAGCCCCTCTGTACTGGACACTGGGGGCAGGACAGTTCTGTTTCCTGTCCTCAGCAAGCTCAAGGGTGCGATGGCAAAGCTGAAAAACAGGGATAACGACTGGTGTTTACTGAGCACCTGCCATGTGCCAGGGGCTTGCCGGGGACAGCAGCTAAGGGCAGTCCTGCTCCAAACCTGTGGCTCCCATCTCATGTAGGGGAGACCCTGGTGGTCTGACTTCCTCTCCTGCTGACCGCTGCCATCTCATGTAGGGGAGACCCTGGTGGTCTGACTTCCTCTCCTGCTGACCGCTGTGCAGCCACACCAGCCGCATGCTGTCTCCACACCTCATTGCTTCCTGCCCTCCTGCCCGGCACCTCCTCCAGCCTCATTCCGGGGTTTGCACCTCATAGCATTTGAAGAAGAGAACTGCACCTTTTCGGGGAAGCCCTCCCTGACCACCCTTCCTAAAAAGCCCCCTTCCCTGTGGGATTTTGTCAGCGTGCTTCTCGCTGCCGGATATTATGCTCTATGCTCATTTACTTCTCTGCCCTATTTTTTAAAAATCTATTTGTTTTGAAGGCAGAGCTATGGAGAGAGATCTTCCATCCACTGGTTCACTGCCCAAATGACTGCAACAGCTGGGACTGGGTCAGGCCAAATCCAGGAGCCAGGAGCTTCTTCCAGGTCTCCCACATGGGTGAGGGGTCCAAGGACTTGGGCCATCCTCCACTGCTTTCCCAGGCACATCAGCAGGGAGCTGGATCTCGAACTGGTGCCCACGTGGGATGCCAGCGTCACAGGCACCAGCCCCCTGAGCACCTGTCTTAATCAAGCACCGCGGTGCAGGTCCTAAAGGCCTGGAAGATGTCACGGGGTCCACACCTGAGCTGCAGGAATCAAAGTGCACCTGCCAGCCACCAGGTGCAGGTCAGGCAGAGCGGTCACCAGCTTCTGGCGTTGCCAGGGTACTTAGAGGCTCGCCCTCATGCCACTGGGAGCGTCAGGGGCAGGTGTTGGGCACAAAAGAGAAACCAGAGACTGCAGCCCAGACAAGCTCTGATGCCTCAAATTCTGGTTTTAGGCTGTACTTGGAAGATGACAGAGACTGCTCTGGGTAGGGACAGTCATGGAGGACTTCCTGGAAGAACTGTAGCCTAAACGGAAGGGGAAGGTCCAAACTGAAGACACTTGCCATCTACAGTTGCAGGCACTCTGCCCCCTGGCCTCCAGCTGCCCTGAGACCACCATAGTCTGCACTACACCTGACACCCCCACCCCCACCAGCCACAGGACAGTGCCTTGGCTCGGATGCAGGGTTCCTGTTTTCAGCAAGTAGCTCAACCCATCACGCAGCCTTGCCCAGGGGCTGTGCTGTGTCCCCAGCGCACGGTGCCGTCCCATCCTCTGCCAGGAATTGCCCCCAGCAGCTCCGTGTTCTAAACGCCGGCCCAGTCCTCAAAGGCCCCAGCGTCCCGGCTTCAGAGAAGTCTGCGCCCTCTGATCCCAGATCGCCTCCAGCCGGGGCGACCTGTCTGCCGGGCTGCGTCCCAGGCAGCCTCCGTCCTGGTGTGACCTTGGCGGTGACCCTTTTCACTCCCAGGAGTGCTCCAGCTGCACAGCACACTGCGGTCACCCTGCCGTCAGCCCACTGGCCTTCTCACCCTGCAGGAACCTGCAGGAACCCTGCCTGGTTCTCAACTTGGCCAGCGCCAGGCAGGGAACCCACACACGCTGGATGACGACACACCAGCCACTTCCGGGGGCGGGGTAGTGCAGCACGCAGCCAGGTCCCAGCTCGGACGCACGTGACGGGGGAGGGAAGATCATTTCAGAGGGAGGAAATCTGGAGGGGCGGCCAGAGGGTTCTGGTGCCACGACTGGGCAGGGGGCTCTCTGAAGCCTTGGCGGCAGGAACCTTCCAGAGGGCGAATGCGCACAGAAACCGGAGGCTGCAACGTGCTTGGTGCTAAGGAGCGGCCAGAGTGAAGGGGAGGCAGAGGGGAGATGCAGTGCGGGGTGCCCCCCGCCCCCAGCTCCCGGGGTTCCGGAAGGGGGAGTAACGGGATCTACGTTCTTTTCCCCAGACTTAAAGGTTTTTATTTTTCCATCATGCATATAGAAGACAGGAACGCCCCGAGTCTGTTCTGATGGGCCAAAGCCCCCGCAGACGCATTTCTGGTTAGGAGCTGCACCGGCCAACTCAGCGGTGCCAGCTACAAGGGCACAGACGCCCGGGTTCCCCTGTGGAGGTCACCGTCCCACGACACGGCCCCAGCCACCCGGCTCCCACTGCTTCGCAGTCCAGTGTGGTGGCCACACAACTCGATGGCAACTGTGACAAGTTATGGGAGTGTCCAAACGGCATAGAAAAATGACAGTGACAGTCGTCAGTGTCTTCCACTGAAAGCAACAAGCAGGCCGGTGCGCTGCAACAGCAGGGGATGCGAGGGTCTGCCTCACGAGCAGCAACACCCCGAGCGCACGGCACCAACATCCCCCGGACAAGGGGGCCTGGCCGAAAGGGACAGCTTGCGAAGCTCAGTTATCTGCTCTTTCTCCAACTTACAGAACACAGCAGCGGGTCCGAAACATGCACCCTCCTCCCTTCGCAGCCTCTGCCACCTCCCCAGGCTGGGGAGGCAGCAGACAAGGCCTTCTGTAGGAAGGCGCCTGGGCACACAGCCAGCCAGCCCCGCAAGCCTGGTGGGGGTGGTGGCAGTCAGAGGCAACCCAGCGCAGCACCCACAGGAGCCCCCAGGGGTTTGGACCTGGCAGCGGGAGAACGGAGTCAGGGTTACAGTTCTTCTAGAAGAACAGCATCAATGAAGTGATTAACCATCATGCCCAGGGACTTCCTGGATCCCGCTCAGCTGCCATGCACTGTCCAGGCTTTGGCGAAGCAGAGGGCACTGGCAGTCTATGGCACAGGGTCTCCCTCTCTGGAGACAGACACGAAAAGGCAAATTCAACGGGAAAGTCTGTCTCCTTACCTGTCTGCAAAACATTGCTTCTTCGGGCCGGCGCCGCGGCTCACTAGGCCAATCCTCCGCCTAGCAGCACCGGCACACCGGGTTCTAGTCCCGGTCGGGGCGCCGGATTCTGTCCCGGTTGCTGTGGCCAGGGAGTGCAGTGGAGGATGGCCCAGGTGCTTGGGCCCTGCACCCCATGGGAGACCAGGAAAAGCACCTGGCTCCTGGCTCTTGCCATCAGATCAACGCGGTGCGCCGGCCGTGGCGGCCATTGGAGGGTGAACCAACGGCAAAAGGAAGACCTTTCTCTGTCTCTCTCTCTCACTGTCCACTCTGCCTGTCAAAAAAAAAAAAAAAAAAAAAAAAAAAAAACACAACAACAAAAAACCACATTGCTTCTTCCCTTGTTTTTTTGTTTTTGAGCTGTCACTTTAAGAAAAAAAAAAAAAAAAAAAAAAGACGTGCCGTACAGAGGCCCACGACTAGAAACGTTCCTGTCTGGCACCTGCTACCTGGCCGCCTAAAAGCAGGTGGAGGCAGCAGGGGCTGGCAAAGGGCCTGGATTCTGTGCGGGCCCGAGGCTCGGGCTCCTGGGAGGGCTCCCAGTCTCGCCCTCATCTGCAGCACACATCCAGACAGGCCGGCCTGGCGGAGCTCCTGGGATCAGGGGCTCTCCTGTGTGCTGGCACCAGGTCCGCCCGCAGGAACAGGCGGTTCCTGAGGCCCTTGTTGACCCAGGGACAGGCGACAGGGCTGACAGCGGGAAAGTAATGGCCAGGCGTTGCTGGGGCTCATGGGCCAAGAGCAGGCTGGGGAGCAGGACCGGGGCAGGAAGGGCAGTGTGACCACAAAGCAAGCGCTGCACTGCCCGCTGCTTCATGCCCTTGACCTCCTGACGCCCAGCAGACGCTCCGGGTGGAGGCCTGGCCTGTGGTCCTGGGGCCACAGCATGTCCAAGCCCGCTGGCACCAGCCCCCGATACACTTATTTCATCTTGAGTGATGCCTCTCGGAGCCACAAGGCAGGGCCGCCGTGGGCACAGGTAGCACCCCTGTGACCCCCAGCAGGTCGGGGCCTCGAAGCAACAGGCCTCCAAGAGGCAGCAGTCCCCCTAGGGATGCCCTGTGGCTGCCTGTTTCAAAAGTGGCCAAGGCCACGAAGCTGCTGGCAGCACCCAAGCACGGCACTGGGTGCCTGGTGTACATGCAGAGGTGACATGTGGCATCACGTGATGCCAACAGAACACGAAGCCCACGTGGAAACAGTAGGGACTGGCCTCGCATCTCGGGGCTGAGTTCACTGCACCTCCAGGGGAGCCTGAGGGCACGGGAGAGAAAGCAGGTGGCACAGCGCCCGCTGTGGCCTGAGCGCAGGAGGCAGAGGCGGTCCCGTAAGCGCCACATCCCGGCTGACCTAGCCAGACTGGAAGCCGTAGGGCCTTGGAGGGGACTCTGCAGGCCACCTTGCCAGGCCCCGCCTGGCTCTGTGGGGCCTATCCCCCAGCAGGTAGTACTGCAGGGGGTTGGGCCACAGGTCGTCTTTGAGAATCTGGGCGACCGTGTCGGCCTCCGGGAGGCTGTGCTGTGAAAACCAGCTGAAGAAGGTCCGGACAGTGTCGCGGTTCCTGTGCACCAGGGCGGGGGGCTCCTGGCCCAGGTGCCAACGGATGCGAGTTGCGACGGACACCACCCGGCCGGAGGCTCTGCACTCATACTCCTTCACGATCACCCTATTCCGGAAGTAGGGGTTGCTCCAGAATCGGAACTTGAACTTGCAGCCTGTCCTGGCGTGCCTGAGCTCCCGCACCTCCAGATTCATCAGGTAGCAGAGCATGTCTTCATCTCGAGGGCTGATCATGGCTGACAGCTGCGGGTGGTTCAGGAAGGCTGTGACCCAGAAGCCCGGAATATTCTGGATGATGAAGCTCCTCCGGGCAAGGTGCAACCGGCGCATCCGCCCAAACCGGCGCTCCAGCCGCAGGTAGGCCCTGTCGGCCTGGGCACTGACCGCCTCCAGCTCCCACTGGATTGCCTCTAGTGGGTCCACAATGAGGCCTTCCAGGTTGAGGGGGCCTGGGCCCTCCTGTGCCTCAGCGTCCCCCTCCAGCTTCTCCTCCCCCACCAGCTTCTCCTCCCCCATCGGCTGCTTCTCCACCCGCTCCACTGCCTCCTCCACGAAGATGGCGCCCTTCCCAGTCGTCACTTCCTCGGTCTTCCCGCCGGCTCCCGCCCGAGCCCCCCTGTCCTCTGAGCCACAGCTTGCTGGGGCCTCGTTCCCCACCGTGCCGTTCCCCAGGCTGGGGGCAGAGGCGGCTTCCCGGCGCCCGGGGGCAGGAGGCGCTGTCCCGGCGCCCGCTGCGGGGTCGGGCCGCCAGCGCGCCTCCGCTTCCCTGGACCAGGCGACGGGGGCCGGGCCAGCCGCCGGGCGCGCCGCGCTCTCTAAGGCCCCCGCCCCCTCGGCCGCCATCACCTGTGGGAGTCTCGGGCCTGGAGGGGCTCGGGGCGCGAGAGCCAGACTGCGGGTTCTGCAGGAGGCGAAGCGCGGCGGCGGCGGCGGGAGGCGCGGTCTCCTCCTCCGGGCGCGCTCCGCCCCTCGCGCCCCCTCTTCCGGATGTGATTTGCTGGGGTCCCCGGGCGGAGGAGCGAACGGTGCCTAGAGGCCTGACCGAGGGGGAAGGGGTCACAACCGGGGGGGGTTATTTTGGGGGCGGACGGGACCGGCCACAGAGGAGTCGGCCGCCGGCGGCGGAGGCGGGGGCCGCTCAGAGCAGGCACCCAGGCTGCAGGGCCCGGCAGTCAGAATCTTCCCGCCACAGCCGCCGCCCTAGGCTGTCGCTCCTCCCGGGCCTGCGGTGGACCGGCCAGGGCCGGGGCGGCCGCACAACTGCAGCCTTGCCGAGGGTCAATTACTCGGGCGCATGCAGAGGGCTCAAGAAGCTTCCCTTGCCCAAACCGACCAGACTCGAACTGAGAGCCGCAGATACCGGCGACTGCCTGGCACAGGGAGGAAGACACGAGGTCGGAGTGGAAAGACCGAGGGCAAGGGAGGGTCTTAGACCCTGCAGACCAGGCAGCAAGTGGGCATCTGTCTGCTTACGCCCAACGCGAGATGGCGCCTCCTGGGCTGCTAGGCTGGAACCAAGTGGCCCTTGCGTTGCACTGCCCTAGGGGTTCTTCTTTGCCCAGTACCACTCATCTCACAAAAATGTGCTCTAGTCTCAAGTGCAGCGTCTGTACTTGGGAGGCTTAGACCCCCGGAAGGCCCAGCTTCTGCACACCTGTCGCCTCAGCTCCCAAACAGGAAGCCAAGGAGGACCATGCAACTAATACCCCCACCTCTCCCATCAGCTTTCTCCTGCCCAATGGGTCCAATAGCGCCCTCACTTGAGCCCCCACACCTATCCTGGGGTGTACAGTCCCTCAGGGGCAGGGTGGACTCCCCTGGGGTCCTAGCCGGAGTTCTCTTTGGTGTAAAGCCTGACCATTTTTCAAGTAAAAAGAGATGAAGGGCTGGCCTGCTGCCTTTGCACATGCAACTCTTGCAAGTGTTCCTCCAGGGGCTCTTGGACCAGGCTCCAAGCGCTCTGCACTGCTTGGCTTCAAGTCACACAAAACAGATTCAGTCGGAGGCCTTGCTGTAAGGATCTCAGCCCAAGGGTTTCAAGACCCCGGTGAGGGTCACTGTCATGAGAATGGCCGAGCAACGATGTCAGGTGAAGCCACATCAGCCTCAAGTTTGGACTCTGGCTGGGTACAGTGTGGCACTCAGGTCCTAGCTCCGCCACTAACTGTGCAACCTGGGCAGTAGGGCACCATGGTAGACATGTATCCCTTCTTGGACAACCAGGATCCATTCCTCATCCTAACAGCAACCCAGATTTCCTGAGAAACCTCTCCTCATCTCAGCCTTGTCATTGGCTTACAGTGCCTGGGCCAGGAATGGCACAGAAGTCCACCAAGGCCAATGAGACCGGAGCTATGAGTAAGGGTCCCTTTCTCCTTCCGGTCAGTGCTATGTGAGAATGACGGGTCTGGAACCAGGTAGCAAAAGCCACATTGTAGGCCCTGGGGATGGTCACAAGTGCGCAGAGGAAAACGGGAATGCTAAGGCCCTCCCTGTTTGAGGCACCGCATCACCCCGACAGCCAGACTGTGCGACACCTGACAAGCTCGCTAACAGGAAATGTCACTGTTCAAAGGCTATGTTCTTTGGGTTTCCTGACCCTTGCATCCAGAAATGCCACTTACCTCAAGAACATCCACTTACCATCTTTCATTTTGAAGAACAAAGCTCACAGCTGCCAATATGAGGGGCTGTCACTGCCTGCCCCACACCCACCACCACCTCTGGCTGCCAGCCTCCCAGGTCCGGGCTCTCGCCAACCCTTTCCCAATCAGACAGGTTCACAACTTCCAAACACATCATTCAGAAGTTTTTAATAAACAACTTCATTATAAAAACTTTTTTTTGAAAATGTAATTCTGTAAAACATTGAAAAATCTACTTTAACAAAGATATGCCCTGTGCATTTTCTAATGGCACTTATATTTTACAATTAAAAACCTTGTTTTATATAAAGCCAAAAATACTCCAAGAGGTTATTCGCTGTGTTTACAAAGTGCTAGAAGGTTTTTGTCTTGTATTTTTCTCTTTAAATAATCTGGCGTTACGGAAGAGCGGCTCCAAAGCCTTGGCCGCTGGGAGGCAGGGAGGAGAAGTGTTTCGGGAGCCCCAGTGCCGAACAGGCAGACGGAGGGGGCCGCTGGGGGCTCCGCTCAGGAAGCCAGCAGGCACTGCCGGGGCGGCGCTGGACGACACCTCCATGGAGAACACCCCTTTCCCTGGCCAGACCCTCCTCTCCAGTGCTCAAGGTCACAGCCAATTCCTTCCACAGCAGGTTCAGAGATCCAGGAGAGGCCAGGGTAGGGTCCCAGAGGAATCTGGACTTTTCTGGCCAACACCTGCCTAAGGCAAAGTTTCTTATTACATAAATATCCTTGTTAAAAAGCAAAATATTGATCCTGTACAATATAACCTGTTAAAAAAATCGTGCTTAAAAATAGCTCCTAGATAAGGAAGGTGAGTGGGGTGGAGAAAACAGCTACAAAAAGGGAAAGGGGATTTAAAGGACTACTAGGCAAAGTTTAGGGCACTGGGAGACTTTCAACTTAGGACAATATCTACGAGCAAAAAAGTAATCACACCTGCTTCCCGGATTTCCATGAACAAAATGCCATTCGTCAAGGCTGGGGGAAAAACTCATCGGGCTCCTTTCCCTGCCTCCTGCCTCCTTCAGGTGGTGCAGCAATCCTCTGAGCTGTCACCTGGGCACAGGGCCTGCCCAGCCACCGTGCAGGGTGGGAGGGACCTGCCCCTGTTCAGGACAGAAGCTGAGGGAGGCATCGGGGAAAGGGGACATCACTCCTTTTTTTCTGGTCCCTGATTGGTCTGTGCCACATGCCATGGCCCCCGTCCTGGGCAGATGCCCCTCAGGCTCTCACATCCTCAGGACGAGTACTGAAATCTGGGACTGAGTCGGATAGAGCTACTCCTATCCTTTAAACCACTGGGCCGTAAGGCTTTTTTTTTTTTTTTTTTTAATATAATTTTGGGAAGGTTTAAGAAACAGCTGAGTGGCTAAGAAAAAGAAAAAAGGCGAAGGCAGACAATATTCCTCTGCACCAGCGAAGTTCACAGTGACAAGAAAAATGTTTTGTGGGTTGTGAGGGCACTGAGAGAAGAGAAAGGAGAACCAGGATGAAGGGAGACGGGAGTCAGGGAAGCAAGGAGAAAAGCCGCGAGGCGGGGCCAGGCCCGTTACAAGATCTTAAACGGCCGCTTTGTCCGTCCTGGGTTTCCCAACATCAGCGTAGCGAGAGGGGAGAATTCGGGAAAGCGGCAGGAAAGGGCAGAGGACGGATTCCTCTAACAGCCCAGGACTTTACACTCTGCAGCCAGAGGTCCCTGTGCCTCACAGACAGGGCGCAGGGAGGGCTGCTGGCTCTCGTGCAGGCTGGCCACGGAGCAGCAGCGGCAAGCCCCCGCAGGCTCTCACAGACCAGTTCCTCTAACAGGAGTCCCGACGACATGCACAGCATGCAGGAGGCTGCGTCCCCAAACAGGCGCTTTTTAAATAAACCTTAATTAGTCCCTGGGACTCAACTGAAACTAATTTTTAGAAGCAAATCGCCTAGTCTGATTCTAACTTTGCCAGACATTTTGATATCTGGTTTTGTTCTTGTGCAGGTATCCCAAGCTACCTTGCCTAAATCAAAACACACTCGTTCACTCCATCTAGCTTCCAATCAGGGGCCACGGAGCTGAACTTTAAGGCTTTCACCTCTAACAAGGGTGCTGGCCTGGGCTGCAGCAGAAGCCTGGGTCTTGGACCTGCTCAGTTCCTGACGATAAACCAAAGGGAGTACAGATAGAAGGCAGGGCCGGGGCTTTGAGGGAACGGGTGGGAGTCTGAGGCAGTTCCTTGGGAGTTTGTCCTGAAACTCGAGTGGAGAAGCCAGCAGCAGGCACCACTGACGCAAGCGCCCTGAAACTGCCAGCTGCCAAGTGCCGGAGTTAACAGTAAAGAGGTAGAAGTGTGTTTCTGAATCAGAGTGGAGGTGTCTCAAGAGGTCCCACAGTGGTGGTCCCTGAGCTGCCTCCCTTCCAGGGTGGGAAGAGCCCACGCAGAACTGAGATGAGGTGGGGATGGGATCCGGCTGGGTTCTGGCAAGGGCTGTGCCGTGTGCAGCAGGGAGCCCCACATGTCAAGAGAGAACTCATCATTTGTTGCTAGGAACCCTGCTGGGCACTGGGGGCAAAACTGAGGAGGGGGGAGCACAGGAAGGTGGTGGAGGTTCTTTGTTGGAGAACAGAGAAGCCTATGCGGTGGCTCCGAGTCCATGGGGACTGCAAAATGGAGGCGACAGGAGGGACATCGCGAATAAGAAACATGTCCGCATGGGAGACAACGATGAACCCACGGATTAGGACTCAACTCTCTGCCAACTTCTAACTTTCTGAAAACTCTTCTTCCAACAACTCCACAACTTCCTGGTAGGGGGTAGAGGGAGACAAGGAGGGGCTCAGAGCCTCTCTGCAATCCACACCGGCCTACAACCCCTCCCCCCTCCCTGTAGCATCAACAGCGCAGGATATTGGGGGGGGCGGGGAGGATGGATGTGGGCGTGCCTTCTGGTTTCCTCCCTCTCCAGTTCACAAGGAGAAGGGGCCGTGATGTACTCGAAGAAAAGCAGAATGGCAGACCTGTGAAAGCCGCTCCAATCCTCTTGCCTGTCTCCGTGGACACTGCCGAGCAGGCCGAGCAAGGCCGGGACAGACGCAGTCAGGGAAGATGGCAGAGACTGAAGCAGTCCAAAGTCAGTTTATTTCCCCACAGGGGAAAAACGTGACCTCAAGTGAAGAGAAGTCAGCAAGACCCGACTCCGCCTTGTAAACAGGACTCCAGGTTACACCAGGGACCAAACGGTTCAGGCTGGTGCCGACTGGAATGGACTTGTGGGAATGGATTCACGGTGTGTAAACAGTGTCACTGCAATCACTCTAAGGCTAACAGCGTGGCGAGGGAGGTGAGATGGTGTCTGAGGCGACTGTAAACGGTACCGTTGCTGGACAACACTGACTGAAACAGAGGTGTTGGTGCAGTAGGGCTGGGGGTCGGGAAGGAGAGAGGCCCTCTCTCTCCTGCCTGATGGCTGCAAACAGGCGATGGAGCCAAGCAACCTTCTGCAGCAGGGCCTGACCAACTTCACTGCTCTGGGGTCTGCAGGTGGGGACCAGAAGGCGGGCTTCTTGGGCTATTTCTCTTGAGGTCATCCAAGGTGAAACCCTCTGTGTCTCCAAGAGGCCTTCCCCTTCTCCAAAGAGGAGGAGGTTCTGAGGAGGAGAGGGCCAATTGTGGCTCCCGATTCAGATCAAGATTTTTTTTAAAAAGGAAACATACCTGAAGTCCTATGGTCTGAGATCGTTCCACGGGCTGGGGCTGAAGACTCTGCCTAGAATTGATCCTGGAGCCTGAACCCCCAAACCAAGTGCTCCAAACAGACACTGGAATTTTTTGTGAACTCAGCTCTGAAAGCTAAGCTGCCTTCTCAGGGGAGGTGGATGGGGTAGGTACTAAAGCTCCCTGACAGAGCCGAGTGAGCGGGGGGCCTCTGGGGGGGCTACTGGAATGCTTGGTGGAAACGAGGCAGGGTGGTGGTGCTCAGGCCAGAGGTGAAGACAGGAGGCAAGGAGTGCAGAGGCCCGAAGTTCAGGGGTCCCCCAGCTCCCGGGGAATCCTGGGGCTGAGCTTGCAAAGTGGTGAGCAGGGGCTGTGCTTCCGCCTGAGAGTAGCCCATGACCAGGCCTCCTGTGGCCCCGGGAGGGTTACACGGGGGCAGGTTGAGGGGAAGAAAGCCCAGCAGGTGGGAGAAGTCCACATTAGCAGCGCAGAGGGCCTCGGAGAGGTTGGCGGGGCTCTTGGCGAGCAGTGCTTCATCTAGGAGGGCCGCCGCCGCCGCCGCCGCCGGCTGAGGTGAGGCGGGCTGGGGCTCGGCGGACGAGAGAGACAGGCTTCCAGGAAGCTCTGCCAGAAAACTTTCCACCTCCACTTTGGGCAATTTGTCGGGCAGGTATGAGGTAGATCCAAGCTGGTATTTTGGAGGGAGCTGAGCTGGGGAAGAGATGGGTGAGGATTCCAGAGGGTAGCTCATACCCATGGGCAGCGTGTTGTGCACCAGGGAGTGTGGCACGCCCGCACTGGGCATGGTAGGGATGTGGGCGCCATACATGCCCATGGGCAACATGCCAGGGAAGGCCTTGGCCCCCATCACGTCCCGAGAGGCCATGCACAGCACGGGGCTCAGCTCTTCCTTCACGCTGACTGTGGAGCTGCAGCTGAGGAGGCCCAACATGTCCACTGGCTCCGTCTTGATCTTGAGCAGCTCCTGTGAGTGGCTCTTCTTGACATGGCGTGTCAGGTGGTCCTTGCGGCCAAACCGCTGGGCACAGTACTGGCACAGGAAATCCTTACGGCCTGTGTGCACCACCAGGTGCCGCCGCACATCCTTCCGAGTATAGAAGCGCCGGTCACAGTGGTCACAGGGGTGCTTCTTCTCCTTAGCACCACCTGCGACCCGGCGGGAGTGGGCCTTCAGGTGCTCCAGCAAGGCCTGGGTACTCTCAAAGGTCTGCAGGCACACCTTGCAGCTGAGGTCACCGCTGCTGGCAGCATGCATGGCCAGGTGGCGCCGGTAGCCCAGCTTTGTATTGTAATTCTTACCGCACTCGGAGCAGTGGAGGGCCTCTTTGTTGGGGTCGTGGGTCTGCAAGTGATTCCGCAGATGGTCCTTGCGATGAAACATCTTATCACAGTACATGCACTGGTGGGGTTTCTGGGCCGAGTGGGTGGCCATGTGCCTATGGACAGGACAGAAGGGGAGAAAACAGCAGAGGAGGCGGCATCACAAGGGCTGACTGCACACTCAGGGTGTCCGTCAAAAGGGCAGAGAGCAACGGAACACGTGCCGGCTGCACTCCAGAGCTGTCCTGCCCACTGGCGGAACCACAGATGTACTGCTGGTCCCTGCAGGAAGTCTGGATGAGCCAGAAGTCAGAAACAATCCGACCATCCACTCTATCACTAGGGAATTTGTTCTGTAATTATGGAAAAGGACCCAATTTCCCAAAAATTGAGTCAGCTTTCTACTTGTAAGTACCTATAGGGAATAAGCTCCTAAAATACAGTGTAAATGGAAAAAGCACGGAGGTATATGTAGAATGGTGCTCTCTAGGTAGAAAAAAAGGGGGAAAATACGTATTTCCTTACTTGTATATACTTAAAGCATTTGTGGAAGGATGTATGAGTACAAGAAACTGGCATCACTGATTGCCTGTGGGGGGGAATTAGACAGCTTATCGATGGATGACTTATCACAGTTTTTTCTGTACACCTTTTGATACTGTATGAATTTTGAATTATGCAAATGCATTTCCTTTGCAAAAATCACATTTGAAATAATGCAACAAAGGGAAAACAAAATATATCTACATTTCCTGATCTGCAATGAGCTCTCATGATACCTAAGTCTACATGAAAATAGGACACTCCATAAAACATGTAACAAGATCCCCTTTGAAAAAAAGGAAGGGAAGGGGCCGGTGCTGTGGCATAGCAGGGAAAGCCACCGCCCACAGTGCCAGCATCCCATAGTGCACTGGTTTGAGTCCCAGCTGCTCCACTTCCAATCCAGCTCTCTGGTTCCTGGCTTCAGATCCGCACAGCTCCAGCCCTTGCAGCCAATTGGGGAGCGAACTAGCGGATGGAAGCCTCTCTCTCTGCCTCTCCTTCTCTTTCTGTGTAACTCTGCCTTTCAAATGAATAAATAAATCTTTAAGAAAAAAAAAAAAAAAAAAGAGGAGAATACAGGTTTGGAAGCCCCTGGCTGCCTGGGGAGAGGAAGAGCAGCTGCCCCGTGTGAGGACATTTCCCCTGCCCTGCCGCCACGCCCTCTAGCAGCGCCCCAGGGAATGTTCACCAGCACAGCACCTCAGTGTCCCTGGGCTTCCCTGCTTCCGTCTAGTTGGAAAGCAGCAATCCACAGCTCCACAGTATACTCAGGATCAACTTACCAAGACGTCAGGAGCCCATGATTTGCTAGGCCTTGCGTGCGCTGTTCTCTGGCGGAGGCTGAGGCCCAGGGCAGTGCCACTTACCAGTCAGTATGTGGCAGAGGCCAGATTTAAGCACAGACCTGCTGGAAACCTGCGTCATTTTGCTCGCTCTGGTATAGCACCCAGTGATCTCTTCCCAGGGGGAGTCACACACATCCACTCTCCTCACGCTCCAGCCTGGGTGGGCTGCTACCAACCTCCTGTGACGTAACTGACACAGTAATGGTAACAGGGGAGAGGGAGGTGCTGCGAGCTCCAGTCCGTTTCCCTCCTCTTCAGGGAGGAAACGAAGACCCAAGAGTGACCCACGTGGAGATCACGTGGAGAACTGTGGGTCCTGGCCTAGGACCCTTTCTGCAGCCTCTCAGGGGCACTCAGACCATCACTCAGAAAGTGACTGAGTGGTCGTAAGAAACAGGAGCACGCAGAGAACCCAAGTGTTCTGAGGACCACAGCACTTCATGAGGGCAGTCCTGGCTACCACACTACCCTGCTGCCTGTTTTAGTTCCTTCCTATCAACTGTTTCCCAGATGAGGAACTGAGGCTTTCTGTGGTCATCCTGTTCACGCTCCAGTATTAGAACAGTACACCCAAGGGGGGCTAGTCTGTCTGGCTCCCTACTCCGTCTCTAGCAGCGAGTCCTGTGCCTGGGACAGCAGGAGCTCAGGAAGTAACAGATGGGTAACTGAATGGCTGCCTGCATGATGGTCCATCAGCCCAATCTGACTTGTAAAGCGCAAGTTTATGGAACGGCAAGGAAAAATCAAAATTGTTTTCAACCAGGCTTGCCCTCCTGACCGAAACTTCCGTATAACAGGGCTTTTAGATTCTATTTCACTTTAAGTAGCAGTTCTTGGGCTTCCAAGTTTCAGAAAAGCAGCTGGCTCGGAGGGCAGCAAGGACTCCAAAGAGACAGCAGTCAACATGTGAACGGCAGGCTGATTCCAGAGAAGCACTGCACAACCTAAGCAGCTATGGGATCTGGGCTAAGTCACATGCCTGCACTGAGTCTACTTCAACGTCTACAGACTGGCCCAGATGCTCCCCTCTCCTTCTGAAGTTCTACACCGGTTCATAACTTCTGGCTAAGATTCTGACCACTGGCTGATAGGCATGGGGAAAAAGCAGGATTTAAAAAAATGTTCAGGGGCTGGTGCTCTGCTGTAGCAGGTAAAGCCACTGTCCGGTGCCGGCATCCCATAAGGCACTAGTTTGAGACCCAGCTGTTCCACTTCCAATCCAGCTCTCTGCTGTGGCCTGGGAAAGCAGAAGATGGCCCAAGTCCTTGGGCCCCTGAACCCACGTGGGAGACCTGGAAGAAGCTCCAGGCTCCTGGCTTTGGATCAGCCCAGCTCCATCAGCTGCAGCCATTTGGGGAGTGAACCAGTGGATGGAAGACTTCTCTTTCTCTCTCTCTCTGTCTCTGTATAATTCTGCCTTTCAAAAAAAGAAAAAAAAAAAAGGTTCAGTCTAGTCTGTTCATGGCTGACCTATCCTGTATGCATCCAATTCCAATATCCAAATCAAAAATGTGATCTTGACTGTCTAGTAAGTGACTTCAACTGGTTGGTGGTCAGACCCATGGGACAAATTAAACTCCAAAGCTCGCTCTGGCTTTATCCTCTGGGAACTTGAGGGCAGGAAGAGAGAAGAGAGAAGAGAATATCACCTACCTATACAGCTTGTACTTGGAGGCAAAAGCCTTGCCACAGTGTAGCTGAGGGCAGCTATATGGTCTCTGCTCTGGATGCGGGAGGCTGTGCGGTCTCAGCTTCTCCCCACTTGAGAAGGGTGTCCCCGAGATTTCACATTGGCACTTCACTTGACTCTCCGCCTCCCGGCCCCGAGGCCTGGGAACTAGTTTCCAGCCCACTTCCTCCTCCTGCTTTGCATCTTGAATCCAGGGGGGGACACTGGTGAAAAATGTGGTCATGGCAAGGCTAAGGGCGAAGGGCCATCTTATTCAGAAAGCCTCCCCATCAGCTCTACACGAGCCCTGCTCCGTCACGGCCTTCGACGCAGCCTTCAGAAAGCAATCTCTTCACCTGAAACATCAGAACACCTGGCATTAGGGCGCCCAAGCCAGAACACGGGCTGTGGAGGCAGCCATCCCACTCCAACCCCAGCCTTTTCACTTGGAAACTGTGTGATTCCCAGCCAGTTTCTCCTCTGAGCAGTTTCCTCATTTCTGTAACGGCAGAATGTTCTCCGCAATGACAGGATGTCTTGAAAACTAAAGAACTGCGCAGGCCGGCGCTGCGGCTCACTAGGCTAATCCTCCGCCTGCGGCGCCGGCACACCAGGTTCTAGTCCCGGTCAGGGCGCCGGATTCTGTCCCGGCTGCCCCTCTTTCAGGCCAGCTCTCTGCTGTGGCCAGGGAGTGCAGTGGAGGATGGCCCAAGTGCTTGGGCCCTGCACCCCATGGGAGACCAGGAGAAGCACCTGGCTCCTGGCTTTGGATCAGCGCGTTGCGCCGGCTGTGGCGGCCATTAGAGGGCGAACCAATGGCAAAGGAAGACCTTTCTCTCTGTCCACTCTGCCTGTCAAAAAAAAAAAAAAAAAAAAAAAAAAAACACACACAAACAACTGCACAGTGGTAACTGTCATCACTATGCCACCGAGGTGGATAATAAGATCATCTGAGGAACTAACATTCCTAAGACGCCAAACTCTCTCCTAACTCCACTTTTACATCCTTTCCTTTAAACCAAGAGATAGCAGTTCCTCCTCCTCCTTTTTCCACCTCCCACTCATCTACGGTCTTCCGTTCATCCACCACTTTCCACAATTTTCTTCTTCATGGAGGTGCTAAGGAGCCATAAAATGCCCAAAAGGCCTCAGAGGATGAAGGCGGCAGCTTTACTCCAGGAATTTAAACCTGGAAAGCCAGCCCCTGAGCCAGATGTCTTCTTAACAGGTCAGTATCAGGAGGTTTGCCTGAGGAGGCAACTAGACAGCATTTTCCCATCCTGACCTCCACTGCCTGCCTGGGTCTCTGGGCTCAGACCATGTTTCTTCAGCAAAGCGCATCCAATATTCCAACGTGCTAAATGGGCCCTCCTACAGACCCACAGGGCACATTTTGAGCAGGTAACATACTCGCATTACTATCAAGTCACTTGCATTTCCCTATACTTAACATCTAGAAATCTTTTTTTTTTTTTAAATGGATACATCAGCCACTGCATGTAAGCTGAATCTCAGGAGCTAACGTGTGCCTGGGAAGTTCTGCTTTAAAATGGGTTCGTAGCCTTCTCAAAGAGGGAACCAAGTCTTCAAGTCGGATCCCTTTTCTTGTTGGAAAGAAATGTAGTGCAAAGGGAAGAGGATTGGAACATGGGTGACCCAACTCAGAGAAAGAGGACGGGAGTTGCTGTACTCAGACCAGAACAGACCCCACTCACACTCACAAGCTCACCACAGACTACCAACCACAATGCAACCTGCTACGTCAGGGGGATTCCCTTTGAAGCGTTCATGCCAGAATTTGCTCATGAGGCTTCTCCAAGTGAAGTGAGCAAAGGGGTGTGTGGGGCTTGTCCACGACAGTCTGCGGAGGGCTCCGACTGCACAAACGGGCTATGGGCCCCAGAGCGCTTGCTCAGCTCATTAGCACCTGCTGCCTCCAGTGACCATTCATCCAACAGACCAGCCGTGAGATGATGGATCAGCGGGTTCATGCCCCAGAGAGCTTTGCTCATCACTAACATGAGCTACGTCCTGTTCAGGAACCATTCCTCTTGTTGAAGAAACACTGCACTGTAATATGACAAACATGTCCCCATCACGAGTGGAGATTTGCCTAGAAAGGTCTGCACAAAGGTGGCTGCGCTCTGCATGAATCACACGCTGGGGAGGAGAGGTTCACCCTGAAGACCGGGCCCACTCCAGCCTCCCAGCGACTGGGGCACATCTGCCTGCTCCGCTGGCCACCTCAGGGGCCTCTGCCGTCTGGCTTTCATTGTTGAAGTTCCCTCCTTCACACGGGTGGAATTACCTGTTTATAATACCAGCAATTACTATGCACCTTGGAATCGGGTAGAGTGAGCCCGAGCGTGTATAGTGTGGAGCTTGGAAAGAATTTCCTCTACCTTCGAAGTCAAATCCTACACCCCCTTTGTACCTGAAAGTGTACCTGAGTCTCTCCAAAGTTGGGAATGGTAGCCACAGGGAAGCGAGTTACATCGCTCTGGCTGACTTGAGAGGGGGCCTGGCCCTGGAAATCCCACACAAACTCAGAAAGAGCAGAGCACAGCCCCCACCTCCCACACGGCCACTTCATCTGTTCTCCTGAGCGAGCACAAACAAGACGCAGCAGTTTAGCAGGCTGCTACTGAAAGCGTGAGTAATGGGCTTCTAGGAACAAGGCTGGTGGCGGCGGCGAAGCGCTCACGAGGTTGTACAGCTGGAAGCAAAGGCGGCAGGCGGCAGCCACGTGTTCCCCTCCATCTACCTGAACAGGGTTATGGCTTTCAGATGCAAAGAGCCGACACTCTGATCCTACTCCTCCACGCTTTTAAAAAGGCACAACAAAGTGCTTACCAACTGCTACCAGTCGGCTGATGGAGAACCAACACTGCTAGAGTTACCCAGAGCCCTTCTGGGGCTCCGGTCTCTCCTTTTAACATTCCTGGGCTTGGCTCACATAATCAGAAGTCCTGTTTCTTCAGACTTCTTCCTCGACAAAACTGTGAAAGAATTCTACTTCTCTTTCAAAGCTGCTCTTCTGGTCTCACACTCTAACCTTAACCACCACAAAGAAGCTGCCAGAACCTGTTCCCGTAAAACAAACACAATCCCTCCCTCCCAGCTACTGGTAGAACTCGGTATATTTTCAGCCTAAGATTCTTTCTGGCATCGGATCTGAAAGGCAAGCTAGCATGCGAAGAACCTTGGACTTGCTATCAGAAAAGCTGTCCGTCTCTGGCTGTGAAACCACGGTCAGCTACTTTACTTCTCTGAACCGCGCTTTCCTCCATTTCTACGACACAGATTGAGCCTTCTTACCTGTAAGAGTCTTAGGATTAAACAGTACTCTTGAAAGTGACATGTGTGTGCTGAGGCCAGCTGCCGCTTTCTGTTTAAGGTGACTTCCCAGGCCGCGGGGGTCCCCTTCCCAGTGCGGACTCAGAATGCAGCCTTCCCCTTTTTCCTCGCACCAAATCCTGGGCACCCCCCTCCCCCCAGCATCTCCTGGGCTACAGTGCTCCCTTGCACAGCCAGCGCCTCACCACACCTTTATTATCCCCTCTTCTATTTCTAAGGCTCCCTGCCCCAAGTAGGAATGCTGCCTAAAGACCATATGGCCTTCTCTGGAAGCTGGGACGGCCATACTGCTCCCCAGGCTGTGTCCTCCGCCGCATGCCATGATGCCTGCTGCCCTCTGATGAAACTAGTTTTTATGGTGTTACATCATCTCTATAGAAACTGCGTTCTTTCTCCATTATTAGCCTGTTTCCTCATCTGTAAAGCTAAAAATACTTACCTCACAGGCCTGTTTTAAGGATTATTTTAGTCAGGTATGCAAAAGTCTCGCATAGGGCTCGGCCTGCTGGAAGTGCCCAACAAAAGAGAGCTATTAGCTTTGCCTTTGTATGGAGTTGCGTGTCCCCACCTGCTGCTGCTACACACAAATTCTCCCAACTTCCCCCCAAAATACTCTCCAGCCAGCCTCCCTGCAGCAAGGAAAGGGTTAATCTCTGGGCGGTCTTAACTAGAGACCCGCAGAGGATTACCAGCTCACTCCAGCGGCCGCCCTAAAATAGCTTTTATCCTCCCTGCCCAGGAGCTCCTTGGGGATCTGAGGACAGTCCAACACCTGCTGAGGAGGACACACACCCAGAACTTCCCTTGGGGTGCACAGAATCCTCCCTTAAGCAGAACCTAAAATAGCAACTGGAAAATTATAAATAGACTTAAAGAAAAAAACCAAGTCCCGACCGGAGCACCAGAAACAAATCGAAAGAGAAGGAAGAAGGGAGTGGGCACAGCCGCCCCCTCACCCAGCCACGCTCGCTCACACACACACACACTCCAGGGTGGTGGGAGACTTAAATTACAGGGAGGCTGCAGTCTCAATGACTTGCATCACTCCAAGAAACATCAAATGGGATTACCAGGCGCTGCATTTACTCCCAGGCCGAGCGCTCTCAGTGGAGATGGGCCCTCTTTGCAGTTTCTTTGATCCACTATTTCCTCAGATTCCGGCTGTCTTCCTGCTCCCGGGGAGGCCCTGAGCAAATGGCTGGAACTCACCACAGCCCCATATTCCACAGAGGTAAAAACGGGTTTCCACAGCGCTCCCCACCCTCTCCCCAAATCTGGTGGCCTCCTCTAGGGAGGGGAGGGTTAGACACCCAAGGCCAGCCTCTAGCACAGTCCCAGGCTGACAGGTGGAAAAACACACAAGCCAGGAGACAGGCTACACTGGCGGTGAGGGCACCAACTCTCCCTACCCCCCCACCCCCCTCACCCCCCACCCCCGGCCAGGTCTCTTCCTCATCAAACTCCGCGGGCCACAACAGGGACTGGATTTGCAGGAGCCCGGCTGTTACACTCCCCCCAAGACTAGGAGAGACACGAGTGCATTCCGGGAGGATCTGGAGGAGGACCTCAGGGGTGGGAAGCAAGGGCAAGTATGGTAAGAAGGCACGAGCAAGTTCTCCGGGTCTCTGAGGGGCCCTCCGAAGAGTCCGGGAAGTTTTCGGGTTGGAGGGCTCCGAGGATTGCACACAGTTAGAAATCAAGTCTCTGAATTTTAAGAGGGTCTCCAAACCGTCGGGGATGGAGGCTGTCTCAAGTCCGGGGGTGAGATCCCTGAGCAGGGTAGGGCTTATTTGGGTTCTTCACACTCAGGTCCTGCAGGGAAGCCTCAAAGGGGGTTACGTAAGTCTGGAAAACCAAACAGGGTAAAAAGCGGACTATTCGGAGCAGGAAAGGGGGCATAACGTGGGTCTGAGTAGGCGTGTCCGAGGGAGGGAGCAGGTGCAGCTTATCTGCGTCCCCCAGACCCGAGTTCCCGGTAAGGTCAGCAGCACGTTATCTGGGTCTCCAGGGAGCCTGGGGGTCGCGAGTGGGGGACCCTCAGGGCTGCGACTCCAGGTATCGGAAGAGAAGGGGTCAGTGAGGCTCCTTCGGGGCCCCCAGACACAGGTATCAGGTCCCGGGAGAGTTTTCGTCACCCTGGGGCCTATCTGGGGCCGGGCTGGCGCAGAGACGGCCCCCGGTCGGTGGTGTGAGCGACCGCGCCGAGGGGCCCGAGTTGAGGGGCGCCGCCGCTCCGGGTGCCGGGCGCGCGGGCGCAGCGAGACGGCCTCCCGCCCCGCTCCCCGCCGTCCCCCGGGGCCCTCGCCGGCACTCACCGCGCTCGGGGCCCCGCGCTGCGGGCCGGGCCGCGCTCGGGCTCCGCCAGGCCCGCTCAGGCCCCGGTAGTGGCGGCGGCCGGGCCATTGTGCGGTGCATTGTGGGAGCCGCGCGAGCGGGCGCTCGGGCCGTGGAGGGGGCGGTGCCGCGGGATCTCTATGGTCCCGCCCGCCCGCGGGCTAGAGCGGCCGGGGCGGCGCGCGGGCGGCGCGCGGGGGCCGCCGGGAGCGGGGCGGACACTAGCGCCCCAGCTTTCTTCCCCGCCTCCACGGCGCTGCGCGCTCGGGCTCGGAGCCGACATGGGCGCCGCCGCGTGGGCACTGCCGCCCCTGGCGCTGCGAGTGTCTCTGCTGCTGCTGCTTCTGCCGCTCCCCGGGCTGCCCGCGGGCTCCTGGGACCCGGCCGGTTACCTGCTCTACTGCCCCTGCATGGGTAAGGCCTCCTGAGCCCTCTCCTCAAGTGGAGAAACTGAGGCTGGGAGTGGAGAAGCCACGCGGAGACACCGTGACAGGTCCAGGAGAGAACCCCAGAGCGGGACAAAGCCTGCTCTTCCCCTTTCTGCCCAAGTGTGAGAGCCCCGGGGGCCGCCGTGGCCAGCCTTGCATTTGACAGATGAGAAAACAGACTGGAGAGGTTGCGCGACTCGCCCAAGGTCTAAGTCAGCCTGGAGTCCGGGGTTTGGAGCTTAGCGGGGCCGCGCGTGATGTCACCGGGCCACGCTGGCGGCAGGCTTCTCCTTCGTGCGACAGATACTTATAGGGCCCTCCTGTCTGTGCAGGGAGTGCGGTGGTGAATAAAATAAACCCCTCTCGGTTGGGGAAGACAGACAATAAAAGATGTAAAAAGTAAGGAATTAATCGGTTTCTTAGGAGATGATGAATGCTAGGGGAAACAGGTAAAGGAGACTCTAGGGACCATTTGAGGGGCGCAGTTTGAATGGCCTGGTGGGTCACTACTGTGAAAGCCGTCACTTCTTACAGCCCTCCGAAAGCTTCCAGAGCGCTGGCCCTGGCCGTCTAGGCTCTGCGCGGTTTGACCCCGGTGGGTCATCCCCACAACTCCCTTCTGGCAGATCCTGCCGCTGCCGCCACAAGCCAGACTTGCCTCTGTTCCACCCCTCGCCCACACCGAGGTCCTTGTGCCCTTCCCCCTTCCTGGAACAGCCGGCCACCTCTCCTTCCATCCAGCGGGCCCCGGGCTGAATGTCACCAGAAAGGACTGCACTGGCCTCCACCCAAGTGATCCGGTCCCTGGCTGCCCCATCACCGGAGCTTTTCACGTCAGGCAGCGATCAACATGTATCACTATGTATTTGCTGTCATGGTGTGTGTGTGGGGGGGGGGTCCTCCCCCACTGGCTGGTGGATACCTGAGGGCAGAGACCTGGTCCTTGCTGCTCATTCCTTAGCAGAGAGCCTGGCCCCTCGCAGCCTCTCAGTAGCATTGGCAGTGGAAGGGACGGATGCCATGCTGGGGATGACAAAATCAGTGAGGGTCCTCTCTCCTGAGCATCCACAGGTTGAGGAAATGGCCAGAACGGAGGCCAGGACTGAGGAAGGACCTCTGAGGAGGAGTGAGGAGCTTGAAGTGGGAGGCAGAGGAGGGGGAGTGAGTGGCGCTCCTCATGCAGGGAGTGGAGATGCAGGTGCAGGGCACTCCTTACTGAGTGAGCAGAACAAAGGCAGGGGCGGGCATAGGAGATGTGGAGCCTCCTGGGGAAAAGCAAGGGTCAGAAGAGGCTAGGCGGAAGGAGCAGGGCCTGGAAGGCCTTGGGCATCCGGCCAGCAATCCAGACTTGCTCTCATGCTGCCGTGTCCCCTGTCCGCGTCCTGGTCCTCCTCCACCCATGGGTCCACACGCAGGAGCCCTCCATGCTAGCGCCCTCACTGCCCCAGGCCTCACCTCACCTGCAATGTACCGTTTCCAGGGCGCTTTGGGAACCAGGCTGATCACTTCTTGGGCTCCCTGGCATTTGCCAAGCTGCTGAACCGCACTTTGGCTGTCCCCCCCTGGATTGAGTACCAACACCACAAGCCTCCCTTCACCAATGTGAGTACTTCCCCCTGTTCACCCTGCCTGACCCTGACTCTGCCTCCGGCTCCCTTGAGCTTGTCCTACCCCCATCCAGAACTACTCTCTCTAGAATAGCAATGGCGGTCCTTCATCCAGCACCGTCGAGTGCCTGCACTGTTGTGAGCACGGCATGAGGATTAGCCGACTCCTCCCTGTCACATCCCTGTGAGGTTAGGTAACTCGTCCAAGGCCATGCAGCATGTGGATACTACATGCTGGAATTCAAGTCCTTGTCTGTCTAATTCCAGATCATGTAGCTTCAACCCGAAACCTCTGCTTCCAGTCCTGACTTGTTTGTCTCAGTCATTCCATTGATCCTCACACAATGGGAGCTATAATTGATTTCAAAGGAAAAACTAAGGCACAAGTTAGTTAATAACATGTTCAAGACCACAAACCCAGGGGCAGGCATTGTGGCACAGTGGGTTAAGCTGCCACCTGCATCGCCAGCCTCCCATTTAAGTGCCAGTTCAAGTCCCAGCTGCTCCACTTTAGAGCCAGCTACCTGCTAATCTACCCAGGAAAGCAGCAGAAGATGGCCCAAGTGCTTGGGCCCTTGCCACCCAAGTTGGAGACTGGGATGGAGTTCCAGGTTCATGGCTTCAGTCTCATCCAGCCATTTGGGAGACTGAACCAGCGCATATAAGTTCTGTCTTTGTCTCTCCTCTGTTTCTGCAACTACCTTTTAAATAATTTTGTTTTAAGATTTATTTATTTATTTGAAAGGCAGAGTTACAGAGAGGCAGAGGCAGAGACAGAGAGAGGTCTTCCATGTGCTGGTTCTCTCCCCAGTTGATGGCAATGGCCAGAGCTGTGTTGATCCGAAGCCAGGAGCCAGGAACTTCTTCCAGGTCTCTCATGTGGGTGCAGGGGCCCAATGATTCGGGCCATCTTCTACTGCTTTCCTAGGCCATAGCAGAGAGCTGGATCGGAAGTGGGGCAGCCAGGACTCGAACCAGTGCCCGTGTGGGATGTCAGCACTGCAGGTGGTTCCTTTACCTGTTACGCCACAGGGCTGGCCCCTTAAATAAATGTTCAAAAAAAAAAAAATTCCCACAAACCCAGCAGTCTGGCTCCAGTGACACCTCTTCCCATGAGGGCTGGCATGGTGATGCTTAGTGTCCTCTGATTCCTTGTGGTTTTTTGTGTCTTCTAAGGATCCCGTGTCCATCTTCATTCATATTGTATTCCCAAGGACCTGGCAATAGGAACTCAGTATTTCGTTAATTAACAAATACTTTTAAAGACATCAGAAATTATACTTAATATGTACAAAACAGTTCATTTTCTTTTTTAGATTTTATTTATTTATTTGAGAGGCAGAGTTACAGACAGAGGGAGAGACAGAGAGAAAGGTCTTCCACCTGCTGGTTTACTCCCCAAACGGCTACAACGGCTGGAGCTGGGTCTATCCAAAGTTAGCAGCTAGAAGCTTCCTCTGGGTCTTCCACATGAGTGCAGGGGCCCAGGCACTTGGACTGTCTACTGCTACCTTCCCAGGCTACAGAGAGCTTGGTCAAAAGAGGAGCACCCAGGACATGAACCGCATCCATATGGGATACCGGCGCTGCATGCAGAGGCTTAGCCTATTATGCCACTGCGCCAGCCCCACATTTTCATTCTTAACAGTCTTTTCTCTGCATCAGTTTTAGTTTTTCCTTTGCCTGCCTGTATTGAGAGAGGTTGTTAACAGAGGTTAGAAGCCAGAGTACCTGAGCTCAGCCTAAACACTTAGTAGTTTCTGTGGCCTGGGCCAGGTACTTGACCTCTTTGTGTCATAGTTTGCTCATCTGTGAAATGGGCTGGCATGAATTGTTCCTCTCTCCTATGGTGAGTATTGAATGCTGTGTATGTTGTCGTATTCATCTTAGCATCAGTTGAGCTAATCAGTGTGGCAAGCCTGGGTCACAGGAAATGCTCAGTCACTGGCAGCCATCAGTGTCCGGGCTTTTTTTTTTTCCATCTTTTTTTTTTTTTTTTTAAGATTTATTTATTTATTCAAAATAGAGAGAGAGAGATCTTCTATCTGCTGGTTTACTCCCCAGTTGGCTGTGATGGCCAGGGCTGGAATGGGCCAGGCTGAAGCCAGGAGCGTCACTGGGGTCTCCCATGGGGATGGCAGGAGCCCAAGCACTTGGACTGTCTTCTGCTGCTTTCCCAGGCCCATTAACAGGGAGCTAGATGGAAAGTGGAGCAGCTGGAACACGAACCAGTGCCCATATGGAATGCTGGCACTGCAGGCAGTGGCTTATTCTGCTGTGGCACAAGGCTGGCCCCTGCACTCACTGTTTTATTTTAGCAATGCCCATCTGTCTCCCTCTGACTAGTTTGCTATCTGTCTCCTTGCCTCCAATGCCAAATGTCTTTCTGAGTCTTCATTTCTTGCTTTCTATGGGTTACTCAACCTGCCCCAATTGGGCTCCTCCCTAACTGTGGCCATTCTGGCTGAGGTCATTGAGGACCTCAGAATTGCTAAATCCAGGGATCATTTCTTAGTCTTTATCTCCCCTGACCTCCCAGTGGCTCCTGGCCTGTGGTTTCCCTCTTTCCTGAACTTCTCTGCTCCCCAGGCTTCCATAGTAGCACCTGTGCCAGCCACAGCCCTGAGCCGGAGCATTTCCTCTTTGCATTCTCGTGTGGGCTCCTCTCTCCACCCACTGTTTAGATGTTGCTGTGTCCCCTCTCTCTGCTTGTTAGCTCTGTGCCCTCTGTGAGCCATCTCGATTCTGTTTGCCTGGACTTCATAAGTAAACTAGAGATGGTTATTTTCCTAGCTCTTAGGAGCTTAAGCAGGGTCAGGCCTGGTTAGTACTGGGGTGGGAGAATTAGAGGAGCAGTGCATGTCAAATGGTAAGTGCAGCGCCTGGCACTAAATCATCGCTCAATAAATATGAGTTGCTATTATTGCCATCACTTGCTGTGCTATAAATTTCTGTTGACTCTTGTTATTCTTCCCCATGACTGCTCAAATCTATCTGAGGCCCACACTCCCTCTGACCACGGGCCTGGGTTTCTGACTCCTAGACCCTTGAGTCTAATGTATGTCCCACAGATATCTCAAATTCACAAAGCCAGAACTGAACTTGACACTTTCCCCTCTGACCTGTGTCCCTGCCTGGATTCCTAGCCTTAGCCTATTCCATGTCCCTTCAGCAGGGTACCAAGCCCGTAACCTAGAGGTCATCCTAAATGCCTTCCTTCACACACACGTTCAGCCCCCGGACCCTTGGCTTTGCCACCCTTTGCATCCTCTACCTGTCCCTGCCTCCCCAGCTCGTGTGCACAAGTTGGAGGTGCCTGTGAATGCATGTTGAAAGTGTAAGTTAGACTGGCACTGTGGTGCAGGAGGCTAAGCCTCTGCCTGCAGTGCTGGATCCCATATGGGTGCTGGTTCAAGTCCCCTCTGCTCTGATCCAGCTCCTTGCTAATGGCCTGGGAAAGCAGGCTCAGTGCTTGGGCCCCTGCACCCACATGGGAGACTCGGAAGAAACTCCTGGGTTCAAATTGGGCCAGTTTCGGCTGTTGCAGCCATTTGGGGAGTGAACCAGCAGAAAGAAGGCCTCTTTCTCTGTCTCTCCCTCTCTCTGTCTATAACTCTGCCTCTCAAATAAATAAATAAATAAATCTTAAAAAACAGTGTGTATGTGAACAAATAAAAAGATCTTTGCTGTGGCCTTCTAATTCCTCTCTCTTCTGATCTTACCATCAATATAAGTCTCTTTTTTGCTACCAAAGTGATCTTTCAAACAAGGCAAGTCTCATCTAATTTCTGCTTAAAATCCTTCATTAAAAACACCCCATTGCTAATAGTAAAGATGCCAAAGTCTATTCATTGGCATGCCAATAGCTCATGCAGGAAGGGTGCACTATTTAAATTAGCTAGAAAAATTATATTCTTAGGTTCCCATACCCCCAAATTTATAGGTTGACAGTGCACAATTGCACATTCACACAGCACACACATAAAGGCTCCAAGAAGTCCTACATTAAAGAAATCAGCTTGAAACAGCTTTCCCCAGGCTGTTTAACCCTGGAGACTTTTTATTACAGAACTCTTTGTCTACCCAGATGAGTGGGACATGTGTGGGAAACCCTGACCTGTAGAATAAAGTCCAGCTTCTATTTTTTATTCTGTGCTTTTTTTTTTTTTTTTTTTTTTGGACAGGCAGAGTTAGACAGAGAGAGAGAGACAGAGAGAAAGGTCTTCCTTTTCCATTGGTTCACCCCCCAAATGGCCACTATGGCTGGTGCGCTGTGGCTGGCGTGCTGCGCTGATCTGAAGCCAGGAGCCAGGTGCTTCTCCTGGTCTCCCATGCGGGGGCAGGGCCCAAGGACTTGGGCCATCCTCCACTGCCTTCCCGGGCCACAGCAGAAAGCTGGACTGGAAGAGGGGCAACCGGGACAGAATCCGGTGCCCCAACCAGGACTAGAACCCAGGGTGCCGCCACCGCAAGCGGAGGATTAGCCTAGTGAGCCACGGTGCCGGCCTATTCTGTGCTCTTTTAAGAATTGTTTTAAAATATGAAATATAGAGACGAATACAAGTACCCACCACTAGAGTGATCATCAGTAATATTTTCTCATCTTTGCTTCATCTTCTCTTTTTGTTAATAAAACAAAAATTTATAAAATATAAAATCTCACTTCATCCCTGGGGCAAACCTAGTCCCCTAATCACTATCAAGCTTTTAATGTATTCCGTGTGACATCTTCCAGGGTCTTCAAAGAGTTCATGGAAAAGTGTATTATGAAAAAATTATTCATGGATTTCAAAATTTTTGTTGCACCTGGGGCTGGTGTTAAGCGCCTCCTGCAATGCCAGCATCCCGTATGAGAGGCCTTGCTGCTCTACTTCTGATCCAGCTCTCTGCTAATGATCCAGGAAAGCAGCAAAAGATAGCGCAAGTGCGTGGGCCCCTGCCACCTACGTAGGAGACTCAGATGGAGTTTCTGGCTCCTGGCTTCAGCCTGGCCCAGTGCCAGCCGTTGCAGCCATCTGGGGAGTGAACCAGCAGATGGAACATCTTTCTGTCTCTCTCTCTGTAAATCTGCCTCTCAAATAAATAAAATCTTAAAGAAAAAATTTATTGAACCAAAATAAACTTACCTTTTCATTCTATTTTGCACAAACTTTTAAAGCACCCTTGTACTGCCGTGTGGTATTGAGCCTTCTTGTACCCATCTATTGGTGCAAAGTGCAGGAACTTCTCCAGAACAGATACCAGCAGGTAGAGTGAGCACTTGACATTCTATAAGATACTGACAGATCACATCCCAGAGTGCTGCTTCCACATGTGTGCGTCTCTGACCAGGCGTGTATGAGAGCACTTGTCTCCCCCTCACCCCATCCTCTGTAACAGCTGGAGTTAAGCTTGTAAATTTTTTGTTGGCCTCGCGGGTGAAAAGTGATGCCCATTAGAGCGGTGATTTCCTTTTTCCTGGTCCCAAGGAGGCTGTCCATCTTTCAAGCAGGTTGGCTGTTTGAGGTCCTTTGCTGTGAGCTATGCATCTCGTCCATTGCCCGTCTCTTCTCTTGGTGTCATTTGTCTTTTTAACTAGACAGCAGCAGTCTTTGTGTTGTTTTGTTTTAAAATTTATTTATTTGAAAGGCAGAGTGACACAGAAAGAGAGAGAGATAAAGATCTATCCGCTGATTCACTCCCGAATGGCTGCAATAGCCAGAGCTGGGCCTATCTGAAACTAAGAGCCAGGAGCTTCCCCTAGGCTTCCCATGAGGTGCAGGAGCCCAAGCACTTGGGCCATTCTCTGCTGCTTTCCCAGGCACATTAGCAGGGAGCTGGATCAGAAGTGGAGCAGCCGGGACTTGAACCAGTGCCCATATGGGATGCGTGCTCTGCAGGCAGCAGCTTAACCTGCTACGCCACAGTTGCTGTTTGTTCTCTAGTTTGCAGACATGTTCTACTGTTATGTGTCTGTCCCAACTTTGGTGTCTCTTGACAAACGGTTTCCATTTTTGCATAGTCTGAACTGTCCGGGTTGAGGAGTGCGGGCTATTTTGCTGTCTCTGAGGCAGCCCCTGGAACGTGTGCAGGATCTCTGCCCTTCCTTCCTTCCCTCCTCTCCCTGCAGCTCCACGTGTCCTACCAGAAGTACTTCAAGCTGGAGCCCCTCCAGGCCTACCATCGGGTCCTCAGCCTGGAAGAGTTCATGGAGAAACTGGCACCCACTCACTGGCCCCCCGAGAAGCGGGTTGCATACTGCTTTGAGGTTGCAGCCCAGCGAAGCCCGGATAAGAAAACGTGCCCCATGAAGGTGGGTCCTGGGGGGCTGGGAGTCCTTTCTGCTTTGTCCCGTGTTCTCTGGGCCCCCAAGACCATGTGATGGCAGTACATGAGGGGAGACATCACAAGGGCTTAGAGTAGGAAGACGGAGATGTGAGTTCATTTCTGGACTGTCACTTTGGGCATTCTTAGATTCTCTTAGATTCTCTGAGCCTTTATTTCTGCCTACAAAGTACAGATGCCAGTGCCTGCTCTGTGTGGCTCACCAGGTGTCATAAGGGCCAGGTGTGAGCGTGCTGGTGAGCTACAGGTGTCATGGTAGCACAAACAGCTAATACATAGCACTTACTGTATGGCAGCTACAGACTGAGAACTTTATGCATATTGACTAATTTAATCCTCAAGCTGCTCCATGAGGAAAGTACTGATATCACTATTCTACAGAGAAGGCTCTGAGTGTGGCACAGAGAAGCTCAGTGTTTGCCCAAGGTCACACAACAAACACGAATTGGACCTAGCATTCAGTCCTAGGTAATTTGGCACCATCGTCTACTCTTTTAAATATTTTCCTGACCCTCAGTGAGTAGATGAGGAGCTGTTCTGTTTTTCTCCTTTATTAAATTTTTTGGTTGTCATTTGTTTCAGTTTTTGTTTAGCTGTTGTATTTTATTCATAGAAGTGTGTAAGTTTCTGGCACTTTGGGGAATAAGGCAGTTCCCACCAAGTCTTTCAGTGCTTACGCTGAAGTCCGGGGAGAGCGGTTGGGACAGCTATGAAGTTCAGAGAGGAGGCCTGGCTTACAGCCCTCCCATGCTGTGTGACCTGAGCAAGAGCCTGACCCTCCGTAGACTTTGGCTTCCGCCTTGACAATGAGGGCACTGATGTAGCTGGTCTTGAAAGTTTCCTGGAGCTCAAGTGCTTGTGCTAAATGCAGAGTCTGCCCCTCCCCGGCCAGTGTTGCGGTGTCAGTGAGGCATGACAAGTAAGGAGCAAAGACACCTTCAGACACGGAGGGTCTCCTGCTGGGAACCAGAAAAGCCACGCCACTCTGGGCCCAGCAGACTTACCCTGTCCAAGGGTTTGGCCTGAACCTGATCCCCACCACCGCCCAGTTCCTCCACCCGATCCCTCTGGCTCCTTGGATTAAGCCTTCCTCCACTGTCTTTCTGCAGGAAGGAAACCCCTTCGGCCCATTCTGGGATCAGTTCCACGTGAGTTTCAATAAGTCGGAGCTTTTCGCAGGCCTTTCCTTCAGCGCCTCCTACAAAGAGCAGTGGATCCAGAGGTACTTGGAGGGGGTGACGTTTCTGGGCTGAGGGAGCGGCGTGGGGCTCCTGGGCGTTCAGTGCCCTCTTGGCCCTCTCCCCGACTACCCCACCCTGATGGATGAGACCAAAGGTGCAGGCGCTCTGTCTGATGAACTTGGGATCCTGTGTGATCTGTTCCCCGTCTTAACGCCTGACGTGGTGGGACATTGACCCGCCACAAGGTTGAGCAAGAGTTTATCGGCTGATAAGGGATGTTATAAAAAGCACATTGTGCTGTCACATGAGTCTCGCTTTCCTCCTCCAGGCGTGAGAATCGCTCCCTTCTTACCTCCCTCTTAACAAGGTGCGGAGGGAAGCGGCTGCTCGGGAACAGCTTCAGGTGCCGACCGAGAAGTGATGTCATCCTGCTAATTACGGGCTGTGCTTTATTAATTACGCTGCAGTAGGAGCTATTAAAAAAATAGGTTAGCAGGTCATAGGCCCAGGCTGTGAAATATTTATGGAGCTTCTGTCGTGCGGGAGACATACTGCTCAGAGGCCGAAGGTGACACGTGGAAGTAAGAAAGACCCAGCCCCAGTCTCAGGGAGCTACAGTCTACTTGGATGGTGATCACTAACAGAGTACACTTGCCCTTGATGCTGGAGTGTGGCAGGGAAGAACATGGGCTTGAGCTGGGGCCAGGGGGCATGAGGAGCCTGAATTCAAGCCTGAATTCAATTCACAGCTCTCGGCACTTGGCAGCTAAAGGCAGGCGGACGTGGAGAAGCAAGCACAGGAGGAAGGTGGTCCTGAGCCCCGACCTCGCCCTGCCTTTCTCAGGAGACTGACGAAGCACTCCAGCTCTCTGGCCTGGCTTTCCTCCACGGTTTAATGGAAAGAGCAGTCCTGGTATCTTCCTCCCAGCCCACAAGGTGCATGGCAGCCAAGCAATGTGGTTGTTGCTGTTGTTATTATTATTCACACACTTCATTTAAGCCCTTGCGAAATTTCCTCAAGTGGGTGTTGTTATCAGTTTCCATTTTACAAGGAAGAAACTGAGCTGAGGGAGTTAGGTGAGTTGCCCAAGGTCACAGAGCTGCTGTGTGAGCCGCTGGGGTCTGTCTGCAAATCTTTAGTAACAAGAGCTCATATGTGCCAGACACTGTTCTCAGCCTTTATAGGTATTGACTCACTTAATTTTTCTGAGAGTCTGAGAGATAGGTGTTGTCATCTGTGCTTTACACACACACAAAAAAATGGAAGTAGGGAGGAGTGATGTGGCTTGCCCAATGTTTGGAAGCTGGAACTAGCAGAGTTGGGTTTGAATCCAGGAAGTCGGACTCCAAAGTACCTGTTCTTTTTCATTTTACTTGAAAGACAGAGAGACAGAAATCTTCCATCTGCTGGGTCACTTCCCAGATGCCACTGGCTGGGCCAGTCCAATGGCAGGAGCCTAGAACTCATTCTGGGTCTCCCAAGTGGGAGTCAAGAACCCAAGACCTTGAGCCATCACCTGCTGTCTCCCAGGTTGTGCATTAGCAGGAAGCTGGAATCAGAAGTAGAGCTGGGACTTACTCCAAGCACTCTGATGTGGGATGTGGGCATCCTCATAGGTGTCTCATCCACTGTCCCAATTGCTCACCCCCAAGACATCTGATCTTTTTTTTAAAGATTTATTTTAGCCGGCGCCGCGGCTCACTAGGCTAATCCTCCGCCTAGCGGCGCCGGCACACCGGGTTCTAGTCCCGGTCGGGGCGCCGGATTCTGTCCCGGTTGCCCCTCTTCCAGGCCAGCTCTCTGCTGTGGCCAGGGAGTGCAGTGGAGGATGGCCCAAGTGCTTGGGCCCTGCACCCCATGGGAGACCAGGAAAAGCACCTGGCTCCTGGCTCCTGCCATTGGATCAGCGCGGTGCGCCGGCCGCAGCGCGCTGGCCGCGGCGGCCATTGGAGGGTGAACCAACGGCAAAAGGAAGACTTTTCTCTCTGTCTCTCTCTCTCTCTCACTGTCCACTCTGCCTGTCAAAAAAAAAAAAAAAAAAGATTTATTTTTGTTTGAAAGGCGTGGTGACAGAGATAGAGGGAGAGACACAGAGAGGGATCTTCCGTTTACAAGTTCACTCCCCAAATGGCTGCAATGATTGGGGCCAGGCAAAAGCCAGGAGCTAGGAACTCCATCTGGGTCTCCAGTATGGGTGCAGAGGCCCAAGCACTTGGGCCATCCTCCACTGCTTTTCCAGGTGCATTAGCAGAGAGCTGGATCAGAAGCGGAGCAGCTGGGACTTGAATTGGCTCTCTAATATGGGATGCTGATGTTGTGAGCAAGTGCCAGTTTAACTGCTGTGCCATAATACCAGCCCTTCCTCACCAAAGCACCTATTCTTTTTTTTTTTTTTAAGATTTTATTTATTTATTTGAGAGAGTTACAGACACAGAGAGGGAGAGAGAGAAAGGTATCCATTTGCTAGTTCACTCCCCAAATGGCTGCAACAGCTGGAGCTGAGCCAATCTGAAGCCAGAAGCCGAGAGCTTTTTCTGGGTCTCCCACTTGGGCTGTCTTCTACTGCTTTCTCAGGTCATAAGCAGAGAGTTGAATCAGAAGAGGAGCAGCTGGGACATGAACCAGCACCCATATGGGCTGCTGCCACCACAGGCAGAGGCTTAGCCCACTATTCCACAGCACCGGCCCCTAACACCTGTTCTTAATCACCGTAGATTAAATAGCTGTACCTTTAACAAACTGCCAGTTCCTTTCTGGGATTTTGTAGAGCTAGTTCATGAGCTACTGAGCACACGCAATCAAAGCAAATTCTAATCTCCATCGTTGTTGATCCCAGAGAGGATAGTCCTGTTGGAGCACCTGCTTGGTTTTCCCTCTTCACCTCTAGATGACCTGGAGCTATCGCCAGAAGCCAAGCCTGCCCTCAGAAGATGGAGACTGGACCCAACTGACAGTATGTCAGGAGGACAAAAAAGCCACCAGCTCCAATGCAGTCTCCTAATGCAAGTTTCAAAAAGCCAGCAAAAGCACACAATCCTAGTGAGAAAAGGAAGGGACAGTGCTGCATGGAAAAATCAAAAATCAGCTGGGGACGTTGCTCAAACATTTGTTAATCTCCCCATAGTCTTTTTGTGTGTGTGTGTGTGTGTTGTTCATTGAATTATTTTTTGGTTTTTAAAGATTTATTTATTTATTTGAAAGGAAGAGTTACAGAGAGTCAGAGGCAGAGCGAGAGAGGTGGAGGTCCTCCATCCTCAGATGGCTGCAATTGCCAGAGCTGAGCCAATCCGAAGCCAGGAGCCAGGAGTTTCCTCTGGGTCTCCCACGCGGGTGCAGGGGCCCAAGGACTTGGGCCATCTTCTACTGCTTTCCCAGGCCATAGCAGAGAGCTGGATCGGAAGTGAGGCAGCTGGGACTCAAACCGGTGCCCATATGGGATGCCAGCACTGCAGGTGGCGGCTTTACCCACTGTGCCACAGCACCAACCCCAGTCCATGGAGTTCTAAGAATTGTGGGTAGATTTGAGGAAGCTGAATCTGTGGGAAAGGAAGGCCAGTAGGGAAGATGTAGACCCTGGAGGCAATCTGGGGGAGTAGGGCCCTTGGGCAGCTGCCTTCCTTCCTTCAACACATATTTAAGAAGCACTTCCTGGGGCCAGTGTTGAGGCGTATTAGGCTAAGCCTCCACTTGTGACACCAGCATCCCATATTGGAGTGCCAATTGCAGTCCCAGCTGCTCTGCTTCCAATCCAGCTTCCTGCTAACACATCTGGGAAAGTAGTGGATGATGGCCCAAGTGCTTGGGCCCCTGCATGTCCTATGTGGGAGACCCAGATAGAGTACCTGCTTCCTGGCTTTGGCCTGGCCCAGCCCTGTCTGTGGTCATTTGGGGAATGAACCAGTGGATGGAAGATTCTCTCTCTCTCTCTCTCCTCACCACTTCTCTTTTTGTCTCTGTAGCTCTGCCTTTCAACTAAATCTTTAAAGAAAAAAGATTCTAGGAGAAGGGGGATAATCGATTTTTGTGAGTAGCCCAGCAGAGCTGTCATTCACCAGACTCTTGGTGTTGCAAGGCTGTGGGCTTTTTTGTTGACCCATTCTCACGCATAAAGGTTGTAGTATCTGAGCACATGGCTTGTCATTCTCCCTGGCTGCAGCCTCCCGAGGAGGGCATGATTGGCAGACTGCAGCCTGAAGGATGGGGAACTGGCCATGCAGAGCTGGAGGGAAAGGTAGCCTTTCAGCAGCAAGAGCAAGGCTCTGTCCTGTCTGTGGCCCTGGGTCCTCTGCACACAGCATGGTATTCTGTGCTGGTCCCACACAACTGGTTGCTGTGCGCAGAGAAACCCTGGTTTGTTGGGTAGTCTCAGCATGGATGTGGTGATAAAGAGCCCCAGGGATTCACCGGGCCTTCCTTCGCTGCGTAGCAACCAAGATGAGGGCTTGACCTGGCTGCACAGTCAGGGCTCAAACTCTCCTTCCAACCAAGGTCCCTCTCCCCCCTTTCTTTCCAGAGAACATATCCTGCCTCATTAGAAACACATGATTAAGTCAGCCTTGACCTGTTGCTGTTTATTAGGTCAGAACTGATGCCCCAGCAGGACAGCTGTGTGTAGGTCCAGATGTGGGTAGAAGAGACAGATGTTCCAAATCTGGAATTCTTCCAAGAGGTCAGGAAAGGCACAGGTCATGCCTGATGTCATGCTAACATGTCAGCTGCCCCGGAGCCCAGGAGAGCCTTGCTTTCCTTTCCCAGTCCGCAAGTTGAATCTGAAAGGAGATCAGCCGAGGGCCTGGCCCATGGCAGGTGCTCAGAGGATTCTCATTTCTTCTCCCTCTCGCTTCTGGCAACCTGATCCGGTCGTTCTGGTGAGGACCCCGAATCCCTCTCATCCCTTCACTCTGAAACTGTTCATTGTACAGACTGTGTGTTAAGGCCTGTGCAGGAGGCTGAGACTCAGAAAACCAGATTGTACTCTGGAGGTGCTCGATGATAGGGTGGAGATGGGAGTGAGTGCAGTAGCTACGACCATAGGTTCTA